CAAGGTCAACACCACAAGGGTGTGCCCAAGCACGCGATAAATCCAGCCTTCAAGTGAGTCAGTGGCCACATGCCTCCAGACTTGATTCTGTGCAGTAGGAGAGTCCCTTGCTGATCTGTGTAAACGGACCCTCACGATACAGTCCAAACAGCATCACTCAGAAAACTAAAAACACAACAATAGTTAATATTTAAATACTTTAAAAGATACATTATTAAAAAGATAGCATATTTAGAAAAAATTTTCTTTGTCATTTAATATTTTATAAATAGATAAAGATGACTGATTAAATGGTTATTTTATACTAAAAGAAATATTTAAATATATATTTTAAAAATGTTAAAAGTCAATGGTTCTAAGATAATAAAGTCATCATAATTGTTAAGGTAAGATGCTGTTTGCTCTGATTAGGTTTGAAATTTTAAAATTACCCAATATGTCTTTATAGAGATTTTTATTATGAAGAAATATACATGATGTGCAGAGTTTTACATATATTCTCCATGTAACATGGAACAGCTGTATGTTAACCATTTAATCAGAAAAGAGCTGGTAATTGATAATGAAAATGTTGACAATTTGCATATGTAGAATCTATCATCTAAAATGAGAAACGTGCCTATAATCAATAAAATTCCACTTTCTAAAAATCAGAGCTTGAATGACAATAACATGAGGAGCTCCAATTTGTCTTTCTCCACATTGATAAGATTCCTCTGGGTCTAGGCCTCCACTGTACTCAGCGTACCGGAAGGCACAATTCACCAGCCCCTCCTTGCAGCCCTGATTGCCTTGAGGCCAAGAACAGCTTGCAAAGTCTCATTCACTCAGGGAGACCAGGTTGACAGTTTTCCAGAACACATATTCATCACACTAAGAGCCCACAAAGCATCACGTGAATCTTGAAAATGTAACAGAAATCTGTTATCCATAAAACAAATATCAAGACATTTTGTATAATAGCTCATACATATGAATATTTTTAAAAGAACAGTGAACTGCATGTAACACCACAGTTTACCACAGCAATGACAGGGAACAATTCTTGACTTTCTAGTGGGAGATTGAAGGTCTGAATCTGATTCCATGCCTGACCCTTCATAGGAACCACACATCCTCTCTCCAGTCCACAGATGAAGGGTGCATAGCAAGGAGCTGTTACTGAAACACGATTTCCCTCTTGTGCTTATGGTTTTGAAAGCCAACATCCTGAATTCTTCACTAGTCTTCAAGTAAAGGCAAGTATAATATTGAAAGGGCAAGACATTACTTTGTGAATTTGTGAGAAGGACCGAATTAAGCACACCACACTACCATTTCTCCAAAGGTATTCATGGTCATGGTGAAGCTGTGTTTCCACTGATTGGATTCCCTATTGTGCAGTTCAGTCATTTCCACATTCCTCTCCTACACTGCTCACCTCCATCCTCCCTGCCTTCAGAGGCATATATATCTAATGGTCTTTATTTCTACTTAAAACCCAATCCATGGTTACTAAGTGGATTTTCCATGGCCAATGTGAAGCCAGGGCTGGCTTTTTCCCTCATGAGAGCTGTTCTCCATGCCAAGACATGACGGGGAATTTGTCTACACTGTACTTACAATGCAGGGAATTAAATTTACTGCCTGGTAAGACCTGGCTTCTTGAAACTACTCTTTGATTATGAACACTCAACAGCAACCACCATTTTCTCTGATATCTCTGTGAACATTTCAAATATTATCAGCCATGCCATATCCTGTATGTTGCCTTCCGTTGGGGCCATTGTTCATCTAAATTGTGATCAGCTTTTGAAGCTACTGGTGTTGTTCCCAATTGGTCCAGGAAGAGTGAAGAATTCATCTTTCAAAAAAAAAATCAGTAAAAGAAGTGTTGGATTAGACCAATCAATCCTTCTAACAAGTTTTCTTACTCTTTCCAAACAAATAATTTTCACTATGGTACAAGAGAAAAAAAAAACTATTTCCCTAAGTATTTTCTTAAGGGCTGTGGAACCTCATAAGGACATAATTGCAGAAAAAGAGACCAAGTAGAGTTATTTGATTGAGCTACAAAATGAAAAAAACAGTCTTCCCAGAGCTCTATGAATTGAAACAGTATATGCAATAATTTAGGTTTTAAGATCTGTAAGAGGTACCTTCTGCCGTTTTTGTATTCTGTTTTTTGGTACCAGGGATTGAACTCGGGACCTTGCACTTGTGAGGCAGGAGGTGGCACCAATGAGCTAAATCCCCAGCCCAGGTACCTTTTGGCAAATCAGAATTTTATAGCAACAAATAGCAAACAGGTAAACTTGATGGGCCAAAGTTTTCTACCGATGGTCCTGAGGACACCCAGGTGAAAACCTCACTAGTGAGTGAGTGAGTGGCTTTGATTCCCCTCAGTTCCCAGCCTGTGGCAAGCTATATTCTCAAATTGTAAGATCTTCAGGCACACACCACCATGAAGGTACTACTTTGATTTTATAACAGCACAGATACAATTATCACAGGTAAATTGTATTCTACATGCTCTGACAGGTTATCCAGTGAATGAATATGAAAAAAAAAAAGCCCAAATCATGAAGTATATCAGTGAGGCTATTTCAAATTTTAAAAGCCATCTTCTAATAAATTCATAAGAGATACTATATTTATTGTTGTCTCTTAAAGGTTTAGGGTTAAAATCAGAGTAGCAGCCAGTTGGTGGCCATGTAGAGATGTGGAATTAGGTTTCTTTATGAAGCAAATTAGTGCACAGAGGCATATTCATTATCAATTGAGATATAGTTCTTTGCTTGAATACCAATTTTTTTGGACTTGGGATTGAACCACAAATCAGAGGGTAAAGACTGCTTTAACAGGAAATTGACTTGGGAAATTGATAGAAACTAGAAAAAAGTTAAAAGTGGACTTGTACTGCCATTATATATAACCATACAAACATCAAAGCACTGAGAGATGTAGAAATGAAAGATAAAGTCACAAAATCTGTAGAAAAAAGCATTGAGGGAAATATCTTTCTAACTGTGACTTAAAATACAGAATTATAAAATACATGAAACTGATTTCTTTTTTTTGAGACAGCATCTTGCTATGTAGATCAGGCTGACTTTGAACTCACTTACGTAGCCGAGGCAGGATTCTAACTCATGGCGAATCTCCTGCCTTAGCCTCCCAAGTGTTGAGATTACAGCCATGCACCACCACACCAGGCTGAAAATTAGGTTTTGCATAGCAAAATAGTAAGACATCCAAAGAAATTTTGGGAAATTTTTTATCTGCAGCACAGAAATGGCAAATGTTCACAATGTATCTATAATGCTCCTAAAAATACAGAAACTAGGGCCTAAAAAAGGACCACCCTACTGGCCAAGGGATCTTAGACTCCCTAGCCTATCTCATGGAGGACTAGGAGTATTAAAAACACAAGTGGATGGCCATCCTTAGACCCTGGTTAATGAATCTACAGGGACTGGCTGAGGATCCTGCTTACTGTAGTCATAGGCCACACCAAGGATTCTGGGTACTGTAGTGTGTGTGGGGGTTTCACAGCAAAAGTTCTGAGTACTGTAATCCCATGGGGGCACGCTGAGGATTCAAGATATCGTATTCCATGGGTGGGAGACTGAAAACACACCAAGGATTTTGCGTACCATAGTCCTGGGCATGTCTCAGGAATCTGTGTACATTAGTTCGTGAGGGAACCTGCCAAGGATTCAGGGTACCTTCCTCTTTAAGGGGGTACACTGAGGATTCTGTGTACTGAAATTTTGTGGGCTATAGAAGGTTCTGGGTATCATATTTCTCAGGACAGTCATGCTGAGGCTTCTGGGTATTGCAGTATTTGTAAGGATTACACTGAGGATTCTGGGTAGCAAAGTCCTTGGGAATCATTCTGGGTACCTAGTCCTTGCAGAGCACCCAGAGGATTCTGGGTCCTGTTGTTGGGGGAGGGGTGGTTCTGGGTACTGCAGTCCCAGATGTGGAATTGTCTGGTATCCTGGAAGGGGTGTGTATGGGGGGGGGGGTTTCACAGTGATACTTAAGGCTACTGTAGTACAGGTGTGTGCATGCAGAGGATTTTGGGTACTGTGGTGGATTGATTAATGGTTAATTTAAGTGGAATGCCCAGCTGAACTGAGTCAGTGTGGTTCTGGGTGTGGAAGACCCACCTGAGGATTGTTGTCAATGGCACAAAAGGAGAATAGGAGGGGAAGATGCATGCTGTTGATTTTCCTAGAGAAGCTTGCTGCGGCTGGTTTTCCTGAGAGGAAATTTGCCGTTCCCTTTGGAGAAGGAGCTATGGTCCTCACTGTCACTGGGGATGGCTGCCGTTCTCTTTGGGGAAGCTCTGGTCTTCGCCTTGAGTGTCGCTTTCTGGTTTCAGTGTGTATCTTTTAGCCTTCTGGCACAGATCCTTTACCTCGGTAGCACAGACTTTCTAGAAATCCACCACTGGCCTTTGGGGCTTCCCAGTGCAGATCCTTGATGTGGACCCATGGAGGACATTTCTGTGGGCTCTAGGCCTTTGGCTGGACTTGTGCAGGACATTGCCATGGGCTCCGAGACTTGGCTGGATTCTTTAGGTCTCTAGCACACCGACAGAACTCTTGCACTCTTCTGCATTAGACTTTTTGGGTGAATATTATAAAATAATCCTATAAATTATGTGTGCCCTGTATTACATCTATTTCTTTGCAAACCACTGACTACAACAAGTATGTCGATCCTTGCGGTGGTGGAAGGCAACAGGGAGCCTTCCGGGTACCATAGTCATGGGGGAAGTGGTGTCCTGGGGAAGACACCGTGAACCATGATGGGGGTGGCACGCTGAAGTTTGGGTACTGTAGTTTGTGGTTGAGGTACAGTTTCTGGGTACTGCAATCCTGGGAGGGAGCGTCACACGGAGGATTATGGGTACACGGGTAGGAAGTATAAGGCTTCTGCCTATGGTGGGGCATGTATAATGTTCTGAGTAATGTAGTCTTCGCGGGGGGGGGGTCACACCAAGGATTCTGGGTAGTGTAGTTCTATGATTGGGGCAGGCAGAGCCTTCTGGGTTCTGTAGTCCTGGGTGTGGGCTGTAAGGCCAAGAATTCTGGGTACTGTAGTTTGGGGTGCACACCAGATTCTGTGACCTGTGGCGGGCAATGCTGTGGTTAGCAGCTGTTGTCACCAACCTCCTCGTGTCAGTTGCCCTGGTGAGCTGGACTCCTGCGTACCCTCTATCCAGTGGGACAGAAGGGCTGAGAAGACCAGGCCTGTAGGGCCTTGCCGCTGGCTCAGAGCTGGCCGCTACCCTGACTGCCCCAGGGTGCCTACACCTGAGAGGTACCCAGACCAGGCTCCTTCTCCCGTGACCTGCCCTGCTGGGCCCAATCCTGCCGCACCCCGGCCACACCCCTCCAGAACCCAGGCCCCGCCCCTCTCATCACAGCCCAAGGACACCCAGAGCTGAGGTGCCCCGGCCCCGCCCCCTGCCGTGACCCGCCAAGTTGTGCCCAATTCAGGTGCTTCGGGGCCATGCACCTCCTCCTCCTGAACCCAGGCCCGCCTCCTGGCGTGACAGACCCCGCCCCTCCCATGACCCCGCCCCAGGACACCAAAGCTGAGGTGCCCTGTCCACGCTTCTCCCCAAACGGGCTCCGCCCCCTCTGGGGACTTGCCCTGTTATGCCCAATCCTGGTGCTCCTGGGCTATGCCCCCTCCTCTTCCTGAACCCAGGCCCGTCCCCTGCTGTGGCCCCGCCCCACCCCTCCCACGACCTTACCAGTTGCACAGCCTCCTCTCTAGACGCTTCCCGCCTCCTGACCAGAGAGCCTTCCAGAGGGGTCACAGAGCCTGCTTCTCTCTCCTCAGCAGGTGAGGAGACTCCTACCATGACCTGGGCCTCCACCCCTGGGCAGATTGACGCCTGAGCACGTGCCGGCCTCACCAGTCCCAGGCCTCACCTTCCTGCAAGCCCGCCCTAGGCGTCCCCCGTGCTGAGCAGAGGGAGTGTGCGGTGCAGCAGGTAAGGAGGGCTCTGCATGTGCGGTTGGGGCCAGCACGGACAGGGAGGCTGGAGGGAAAGGGCAGCCCGCCATCGGAAGCCAGGATTAGATTAGGGTAAGCTGCAGGCTTGGCGCAGGTGTTAGGCTCTGGTTAGGTGCAGGCTAGTTTTACACTAACCTTGAGTTGCAAGAAAGTACTCATGTTGGAGTTTGTGTTATCGCTTGGCATATTGCTAGGTTTATCACTTACAATTAGGTTAGCTCTGTGAGGAAATCAGTGGCATTTTTATAGGATAGTGCATGCTTAGGCCCACTTCACTTTCACCACCCACTCTGTCTGGGAGAAAACTTTTAATTCATGAATTGCAGATTCAGGCTATTTCTTTACGTTCCTCTGTTTTGACAAAGAACTTCAATTAGCTGTTTTGGGAATTTGTCAACTCGTTTGTCTGAATTTTCACAACTGGCCTTATGTCACAATCAGCCAGACATAGTTATTTCCCCTGAAAGTCAGTAATAGTTTAACATGAAATATAACGCTATTGAGTTGCTAATTTTTAGGGAAATATTGTTAACAAAATGCAGGTGGTATGTTGTCATGAAAATTATATTTCTAGGAATTTCTTTAGCATATCATTTGAAAATTCTTTTATTTATAATCTCTGTTTACATAGAATACCTCAGAACCATATTTCCCTCTTGTAAATTGCTGTTAAAATATATTTTCAGTTTTTAAATTTAGTGACAACACTTCAGTTTTTTTCCCCTCAGTGGTTTCTTTTCTTTTCTTTTCTTTTTTTTTTTGAGACAGAATCTCACTGTGTAATTCAGGTTGGCCTCGAACTCACTATGTACCCCAGGCTGGCCTCGAACTCATGTTGATCCTCCTGCCTCAGCCTCCTGGGTGATGGGATTACAGGAGTGTGCCACCACTCTTGGTTTAAACTTCTCGTTTACCAGTAACCACAGGATTGATGTCTAACCTTCGGTTCCAGTCAGTAATGACTGTCACAGTGCAGTAAAATGGCCTTCTTGCTGTTCAGCTGTTACAGACCTAAGATTGTTGGAGCATCTTTGAATATCTCATCCTTTTTAGATTGTCAGTAAGTACAGTTTGCCAAATACATTTTGAGGCCCTGGAACATACCTGCATTAAGAATGATCTCATCTTTTACTTGTCTTTATACACACTTAAAGTCAGGTATCCAATGTAAAGTGTGTACATGCCCTGTCCAGAATTCCCACACTTCCCCAAATAGGTCAGAGATGAGAGAGGAGGAAGCATTTTGGACTAAGATATGGGGTTAGGAGAGAAAGAATTTTTACATACACATTACCCTTTTGCAAATATTACAAATGGGGAGTACAAAGTAGAAAAAGTATACAGTGTGGGAAAATGTAGGATTTAGTTACTAATTGTAAGAAGCTTGTGAAATGAGAAAATTAAGCAATTCTCTGTGAATGTCCTCAACTCTAGGATTTAGTTACTAATTGTAAGAAACTTGTTAATTGAAAGAACTAAGTAAATTTCTCAGAGAACTTCCTCGGGCCTGTTTGCTGAAAGGATTGCAGAAAGCCTTAAAAGATGTTGTAAAAGTTCATAGGAAGTAAACATGTTTTCCTAAGCTCTCTTAGTAACCATTGTCCGGGGTCAGAGAACCGTGGCCCCGTGACTCTACAGATGGAGGGTAAGATTGTGGGCTTGGTTTCTGCTGAAATTGCCCTGCTTTCTTGGAACATCTGATAGAGGAGGGCTGCGATGTACTCTTAGATGTATGGCTCTGGTGAATAGAGACACGAGACGTATAAACTTGCCTGTGGCTTTATGAGTTACTTGTTAACCTTTAAGACTAAGATAAATGTGACGATGCTGTAATGATAAACAAAGGCCAGAGACGTGCAGGAATGTCACAGATGTTCTTCTGAGAAAACAAAGAATAATGATGTCAGAATTGCCTGTCGAAAATGTATAAAACCTGACTTCTAGACCCAATCTGGGTTGAAACAAAGAACAGTGACCTGAGGAATAAAGTGCTGTTTCGTCCCCCAGATGTCTCCTTTTCTTTCTTTAAAGGTCGGTGCTCTCTGGGGTCTCCAGGTCCCCCTCAAGAGAGACCAACAACAATACAGTAGTTAAGACATTCACTCTATAAATTGTTAAACTTTAGAGATAGAATGGCTGCTAAAAATAGAGTCCTTACACCAACTTCCTATTTCAAATTATCAATTATTCATTTTAATCATTTTCATCCTTATTTACACTTTCAGTTTCTCACACTAGAGACACGATTCAATATTTCTACAGGTGTGTCCTATTTATTTCACTTAAGAGTATGGCCTCAATATGCATCCATTTAGCTATAAATGACTCTAGTTTCTCATTCTTTATGGCTGAGTAGTACTCCATTTTATAAAAATACCACATCTTCTTTAACCAGTTTCCAGTTG